GGGTAAACAAATACCACTAAGCGATAATCTTAACATGAAGTTGGACTACCAGTTCTATAAGTTCTATAATAATAATACTTATTATTATATGACTACAATTATTATTATTATGTTATCATTTGATTCTTTAGAGGCAATTAATTGATATTAATGTGGAACCCTCAAATAGTCATCTCAAGTCTTCAATAAAAACAGGAAAATCGAATAATATTTATGTTCAGACTAAAGGTAATTAAATACATTGAGTGATTGGCTTAGTTCTTCCTAAGCTTCTAACAAGTTTTCAAATTATTTATTTAAAAAGACAACTTTTATCAATGAACTGAAACTGTGAATTGTTCCTTTCATAGATTACATAAAGAACGAACTCCCATGTGAGATAAAGTCTGCATTGTGCCTTGAGATGGAAAAAGACATAGCTAAAAGTGACGAGGAAGGATTTTTATATGCATTTATAGGTAAGCATTGATTATTTTTAATTATTTTATACAAAACTCTTTATTAATGATCTATTTATAGTCCAGGAAAAGGAAAAAGAAAGATGTGCCTCTAAAAGCATGTATTATAAGATAGGAAGATGTAAGAATGTCAATCAAAGAATAAAACAATGGGAAAACCAATGTAGATATAAAGCTAAGCTTTTAGAAATATTTGCTGAGGATCATAAGTGCAAGTATGTACATCAAACAGAAAGACTAATTCACATAGAACTAGCTGAGTCGAGGGTTAATTTACCGAAATGCCTTGGTTGTAAAGTGGTTCACCACGAATGGTTCAAAGGTGAGACAGTATCAAAATCCAAATTACCTGGATGGAAAGAAATCAGTGCAGTCATTATACATTGGATAACATATGTTGAAAATGTCTATGGACCCACTTAACAAAAATTTGATTTTAATCTAAAAAAATTTCAGTCATTATATAATATTTTGCACAAGATAATAGCTAGAAATGAATTAAAAATGATCGAAGTTATAGTATTAACGTTCTTCTATCGAAAAAGAAAGATCTTTGACAAAAGAAACTCCTCTTCTTTATTTGAATTTTTTAAGTGGTATTTCTTAAAAGTTTTATTTGAAATAATGTCACTTTATAAATAAAAATTTTTTTAAAGGATTATTTTTTTTTAATATTGTTACCAGGGCTACTTTTATGTGGTAGAGCATATATAATATATATATTTCAGAATGAAATGGGAATTATGCTAACAGATAACTTTGGTTAATCGATTAAATAGATAAGATGGTCAAGATCTTGTATTTTATTAAAAATATATTTCTCCAAAAGAAAAGTTAATTCCTTAATACATATAATTGCTTATTTAAATTACATACAATTAACTAATACTGTTCATGATGATAAACAAACATTGTGTGACAAATCATGTTATTTTAATAAATTTGTAAGAGTTTTAAGTTTAACGTTCAAGTTTTTGAATACAATCCTAGAAGTCAAATTACTTCTAACAATCAATAACTACCTTCGAGTATTTCTGGAGAAAATTCAATATATTTTTTCAATCTTGATTTTTTATATTATAACAAATAAATAATAATAAAAATACATATTACATTGGGGGTGTCATACAAGTAGATCAACAAATCTAATTAACATCATTATGATAAATTAATATGTACGGTTTTTTTAATGGATGTTACACGGAATACTGAAAGGGAAAATTTAAATAAAGAAAATATATGATGATTTTAGTGAATTTTAGTCACGATTTTTTCACAACTGGTATTTGTTACCCACAAAAATCTCTATAAAGTCAAACTAAATACATTACACTACAACATACCCGAAAATGAAAACTACATGACTTTTTTTTGCGGACTAGTAGGATTATGAAACAATTATTATTTTCCTTCCTTGTACAATCATAAAAAAAAATATCAGTGATCGACATTATGTGATATCACTTAATTTTGATTTAATTAGATTGTGACACCCCCCAATATTACGTGTATGTACAAATATAGAAACATATATTTCCTGGGACTCTTAAAGAACTTAAAAGGAAACATAATTATCTTATGAGATAAAACTAATTTATATACGCATAACTCTTTGTGGTGTTCAATGGCGGTTGATCATCAAACATATGTTACATCAATATAACAAATTATTATGTGCGGATTTTTTTA